CTCATGCTGGAGTCCTATGCTTGACTCTCTTCAACGAGAGATATTCAGAAGATATGGTTCGAGCTTTCTACTGCACTCTCAGCTTTGCAAATGACACACTCAAGGCCGACATCAAGGGCAAGCTCTTTTCAGTAACTCCTGAGGAATGGCCTTGTATCTTAGGTCTTGCCTACAGTGGACACAAGTATGGTGTGTATGATTTTCCTGAATATAACAAAAACACTTTCACGCAGTCAATTGTGGAACCCGACATCATAGTTTCTCAATCAAAGTTCAGCGTCTCTTTGTTGACTATAGACAACCGGATTCTACATTACGTAGTCACTCACATGTTGTCACCGCGACACTCTAACTACTCTCGGGTGCTTGATGCTGATCTCTTTCTGATGTGGGTTATCCGTTCTGGAATTAGTTTCAACTGGCCCTACTTTATCTGCTCTCAAATGATTAAAGCTAAGAACTCTTCTGGGGCACTTCCTTATGATACTGCAATTATTGAGATTCTGCGTCATCAGCAAATCTTTATGGATGGTGAGATTCTGTCCGATGAATCCACAACCTTGGAATGAATTTACTGGCCCAAATGCAAATCAAAAAAATTAATGGTATTTGGTGTAAAACAACTGCTCCTTCTGAAGCCGGAGCAGCCCCTGCTGATATTGCCGAGGACACTAATCCTCCAGCCGCTGATCATCCTGCTGACTTGTCTTCCTCCGCAGATTATACTTTGGGTTCCATTCTCACATCTCTTAACCGGTTAAACACTACTGTGGAATCCGGCTTTGCTACTGTGAACTCTAGGCATGCTAATATGGAGCTTCGTCTGAAGCGCATTGAGGACTATCTTCACATTCCTCCTCTTCCATCTCTACCACCACCGCCTCCACATGACTCTGATGACTTTTAGTCCCTGCTATTAATTTTTTATGCTTTTGGACTTATCCTATGCTTCTATTTTGCTATGCTACTTTGGATACTTTGCATCTCTAGGACTCTAGCTTTATGGACTATAGTTGCTTAGATTATAGGCTATTATGAACTCTTGTGGATTATTATGTTTTCTTCTCGCTCTTTGCATGAATTATTTCACGATTTCTATTTCTCCACTCATGCTTTTTGATGTTGTCAAAGGGGGAGAAAGATACATAAATTCAAAAAATCATAAGCATATATTAAGGTAAAAAAGGGGAGAATAAAACTCAAATATAAAAGGAAGATTAGATGACACATTGTATATCAATCATATATTAAGGGGGAGTTTCAATACTATACTTGTCTAAATACATGTTATACTAATCTTTTTCTCAATTTGAGTTTGTCATCATCAAAAGGGGGAGATCGTGGAACCAATGCACTCTATGAAAAGAACATAAAAGGTTCAACGATTTCGATGATAACAAACATGGAAAGAAAGCTTCAAGGTGCAACCATCAAAAAGAAGTCTAAACAAGATCAAGACTCAAGCTTCAATAGAAGTCTCTAAGTCCAAACTCAGAGTAATATACTGTAAGACTTAGGATTATTTGTAAATTGATTCTTTACAAGAACGAAGCTCAAAGTATTTTTTCAAATACATGCATTAAATCATCGTTTGACATTCAAATACATTCTTAACATGAAAACATACTTTTCAATGTTCATAAAATGTTTAAACAATATTTGAAAATGATGTGAATCAAGAGAAAACCATTTTAGGGCGAAAACCAACCTTTCAACAGGTTGGTAATCGATTACCCAACAATGGTAATCGATTACCCTTAATGGTAATCGATTACCCATTTAATGGTAATCGATTACCTACTGTACAGAGACAAAAATAACGGCTATAAAACGACTAGTTTGCGAAAATGAGTAGGAAAAAGGCCATGGGGGCCCTCTATAAATAGAGACTATTGTTCTCATTGATGGGACACACTTCTTGATCATTATTACTCAGTAATTCTCATCCTATTTGCATTATTCTTGTCTTCTTGATCATAAATTCTTTTTGAGCTTTATTCTTGTAAGAGAGTCATATTCCATTGTCCTTCAACTTGTGTTATTTGTACTTTGAGAGTACTTAGCCATTGTTAAACACCTTCCTTGATTACTTGAGTAGCTAGGGGAGTGAACCCTACACACTTGAAAGGTCACCAAATTCCTAAGAAAATTTGGAGTGAAAAAGTGTAAGGCATCAAGAGCCCGAAGTCTTGAAAAGTTGTAGTGGTTTGTCAAGCACCCTCAAACTTGATAGTTAGTGAAAAGAATTGATCGAGCGACTTCAGTCTGGACGTAGCTCACGGTGGTGGTGACCGAACCAGGATACATCTAGTTTTCCATCTCTCTAACCTTAATATCTTTATTTAAGTATTAAAATTGCATCTTAGATTGTCTTTATATATTCGCTTGCTTACTTTGTTGATCACTACACTTGCTTTTACAATTAGACATTTCCTTATTAAATCACTTTATTGAAGAAATAGTCTTTAAAATATCAAAGGAGGTACTTTGCGAAAAGATTTTGTAAAACTCAATTCACCCCCCTCTTGAGTATTGAAGCCACCTGTCCAACATTTTCTTTAAATCCAAAGGAAACAACGGTATCATTGAACTTAAGGTACCATTGTCTAGAAGCTTGTTTAAGTCCATATATTGATTTCTTTAATTTACACGCCATGTGCTATTTACTTTTTTCTATGAACTCCATTGGTTGGTCCATGTACACATCTTCCTCTAAATTTCCATTTAGAAAGGCAGTTTTCACATCCATCTGGTGTAACTCTAAATCATAATGAGCCACCAATGCCATAATAATTATTAGAGAATCCTTCTTTGAAACTGGTGAAAAAGTTTCTTTAGAGTCAATGCCATCTTTTTGAGTGAATCCCTTTGCAAACTAGTCTAGCCTTGTAACGTTCTAAGTTACCGTGAGAGTCACGTTTGGTTTTAAAGATCCACTTACAACCAACTCTCTTACACCCTTCTGGTAACTCAACAAGGTCCTAAACATCATTTTGTTTCATAGATTTCAACTCATCTTTCATGGCATCTAATCACTTGTCACCATTTTTACTATTCATGGCTTGTGAAAAAGTAACTGGATCATCCTGAATACCCAAGTCAAATTCAGACTCTTGTAGATATACCACATAATCATTAGAAATAGCGGATCTCCTTTCCCTTTGAGATTTTCTTAATGCTATTTGTTGTGGTTCTTCTACTATGGATTCATTTGATTCATTAACAATAATTTCATCATAAGTAGTGGGATCATTCATTTGTTGTTCTTCATTATTATTAACTGGTTCAATAACATGAGGAACAACAACTTTACTATAGACACAAGTCAAGGGAACTTGAACTCTCTCTTCTTGAATTTCCACTTTACGTGGTGTTTCACTCCCACTAACTTCACCATTCTCAATGAACCTAGCATTTCCAGTTTCAATAATCCTTGTGGTATGATTAGGACAATAAAATCTATAAGGTACGGAATGTATCATCAAATATTCAATATGATTCCATGAGATCAATGGGAGCTTTTGTCGAACTGGGGAATAAGTCGTAATTAAGAAATAAGAGCCTTTTGATTTTTCTGGATAACCAATAAAATAACCACTAATTGTTCTTACATCCAATTTCTTTTCTTGTGGGTTATAATATCTAATTTCTGCTTGGCAACCCCAAACATGCAGGTGCCTTAAACTAGGTTTCCTTCCAATCCACAGTTCAAAAGGAGTTTTTGGAACTGCCTTACTAGGAACCCTATTTAACATATACATAGTAGTCTTTAGAGCATAAGTCCACAATGAAATGGGTAAAGAAGAGTTACTTAACATACTCCTAACCATATCCAGTAAGGTCCTATTACACCTTTCAGATACACCATTTTAATGTGGTGTTCCGGGCATTGTGTATTGAGCACAAATACCACGCTTTTCAAGGAATTTAGCAAATGGGCTTGGATGTTGTCCGTTTTCATCATATCTTCCATAATACTCACACCCCTATCAGACTTGATAATTTTTACCTTTTTGTCCAATTGCCTTTCAACTTCATCAATGTAAATCTCTAAAGCATTTAGAGCTTGAGATTTATCATGCAGTAAATAGACATAACCATAACGTGAAAAATCATCAATGAAGGTGATAAAGTATCTTTCTTTATTGAAAGCGTTAACATCAAAAGGATCACATACATCAGTGTGTACAATTTCAAGAAGCTGAGTGCTTCTTGTGGCTCCTTTCTTTGTGTGTTTTGTTTGTTTACCTTTAATACAATCCACACAAACATTCAGATCAGTAAAATCTAAATCCGGAAGGATTTCATTCTTAACCAATCTTTCCATTCTTTCTTTGGAAATATGTCCCAAACGCTTATGCCACAAGTAAGCAGAATTTTCACTCATTAAAGCATGTTTAATGCCAACATTATGATGCAGAGTCATAAGATTTTCAGCATATAGATTATCAAGACATAACTTATATAATCCATCACATAAAGTACCATTACCAATCAAATGATTGTGCTTGTACAAACTGAAACAACCACTACCAAATTTAAAAGAGAACCCAGCTTTATCAAGTTTGGAAATAGAAACTAAATTCTTAGATATATTAGGTACATAAAGAGTTTCATATAAGTCCAAATGATGTCCACTGTCAAGAATCAAACGATACGTCCCAACAGCTTCCACTGGTCACTCTATTGCCCATAAAGACAAACTTTTCATTTGGCCTTGTGGTTTGGATTGTAAGGAATCCCTGCATCGTATTAGAAACATGAGTTGTACATCCAGAATCAATCCACCAAGTATTATAAGGAACTTCGGTTAGGTTTGATTTATAACATACATAAGCACTTGACTTACCTTTCTTTTCGAACCAAGCCTTACGTTTCAGGCAATCCTTTTTGAAGTGCCCAACCTTACCACATAAATGACATCCTTTTCCGTCACGTTCCTTCTTGCGAATTTGAGAAGAGGAGGCCTCATTTATCTTTAATGGTCCCTTTCCCTTCTTCTAATGTTTCTTACCATTTTTCTTTTTAGCTCCTTGATGTTTCACATAATTGATGGAATGAATTCCCTGGTTCTTAATTCTGGTTTCCTCTTGAACTAGCATATTATGCAATTCATGCACATCCCATTTGTCTTTCATGGTATTATAGTTCATTCGGAAAGGACCATACTCAGATAGTAATGAGTTCAAAATGAACTGCACCAGAAAATTTTCATCCACATCCATTCCCAATGACTTTAGTCTTGCTGCAATATTTGTCATTTCAACAACATGCTCATGCATAGTACGTGAACCATCAGACTTCATGGTGGTCAATGTACTCATAAGTGTCCCAGCAAGAGACTTGTCAGTAGTTTGGGAGCACTCTTCCACAAGTCTTATCATTTCTTTAGCACTTTCAGTTTGTGGAAGAGTTGACTTAATATTGCTTGCAATGCTCATTCGCATGTACATCAGACTCATCATATTGGATCTTTCCCAGTTCTTAAAATGGACTATCTCATCCTCATTGCTTTCAGCAATAATAGCACTGGGTTTATCTTCTCTAAGAGCTAAATCCAAATCCTTTACCCCAAGGTAAAATTCGATTTGCTCCTTCCATTCAGAGAGATTCAGTCCATTAAAAGCTGCAATAGTTGAGAATAACGAATGTGTGGCAACAGGTACTGCAAGGAATTAAATTTGAAAACATTAATGCTTTGAGTCAAACATATCACATACTAACATGCTTCACAGAATCACACATAATTCATTGAGTGTATATCAATGTTCACCTTTGGGGACCCATTAATATATAACATTCAACCATAATGATGGTAATAGAGATATCACATAATTTGACAATGATGAATACCCCAACTAGAAATATTTACCATCTTTGGATATCTAAATTCAACTAGAAGTGTATGAACAATACCAACATTCATGTTCATTACTATGAAACAAACAATCATCCTTTGGGTTGATCCCTAACTGTCCTATAATAATGAACTTTAATTCACCCACAACACAAACAATACTTTTCATAACATGGCATCAAGGTTATGGGTGATTGAAAAATAATGATAATATTTGGAATTAAGACAATCCTTAAGGATTTGACCACTTTGCTGACTAACTAATCCACCATATTTAATTCCAAACCATAAACATTTCATAAATAATTATAAGACAACATCATAAATGTTATATATATATATATATATATATATATATATATATATATATATATATATATATATATATATTTTATTATTTTTAAATGCCAAAATAAAATTAAAAGATATATTTGATTTATGTTCCAAAAACCATTAAGTAATACATATATAATGTCACTGGGCTTTACATGAATATATATGAACTCTACGTACATTTGTGCTACTGTGGAAAATATTCAAAGAACTAACCACCATCACAAAGTCATATCACGTTTATAAGAACAACATATTGGATTTTGGGTTCATTTAAATATCAATATAAATAAAAACTATCATGGCAATTCTTAGTAACCATAATCTACATACTTGAACGAAACAAAATTAAGACACAGTGCCTGGACTATAATTATTTCATGTTTAGTACAATTCTAGCAACACCAACTATTTCAAAATATATACACATGCGTAAGTGTTAATGTTGATGAAAACTTTTGTTTTCATTCCTTATACATGTAATCACGCTTTCCGATAATTCATAGATGACATATAATTGCTATGAAAGCATGAATCCACATCCGAATTGGAGAAAAAACTTCAATTATGTAAAAGCTAAATTGATGACTTTCTCGATTTTTCGAAAAAAGAAAAGAAAAATAAATTCTTTTAAATAAATTTCAAAAGTTATTTGGTTGTTTGAACATTGATTTTAGAAGTCAAATCAATAATTCAAATACAGGAAAGTATGAATTTCCAAACACATGAGCTCTGATACCACATGTAAGTAATAAAAGGATCTTAGAAATTCATGGCTTTCACAATTTTTACCATTGAACTCACTAACCTTTATCCATGATTGCGGAAGATCTTTAATGGTGAAAAGTTTCTCTTTTACGTTTTCTATATCTTTTTTATGAAAACTAAATGCTTTATAACTTTTGATAACTCCACCTATCAACAGTTATCAATAACATTTAACTATTTAATACCTTCTAATAACTCTTACACCAATGTTACCTTTTTGCCCTTTTCTCGTTAAATCAAAATAACACTACTTTCATACATGAGACATATACATGGTTTTACACCGATTACCTTGTTATCGGTTCATGGAGCGACAAGGCCCGCAAGAAAGCTCAGAAGAGATTTGCACAATTTTTCGAAGATGCAGTTATGGCTCCTTGTCGAAAGTATAATATGAAAGTGACTGGATAATTACACAAATGTTATTAATGAGAATATGCCGTTCTCCGTGTTTTCAATGTTTTGGGAACAAAAAAAATTAGAAATGAAAACAAAAACAACTTAGAGTTGTTCTCCAATTTCTGTTCTAAAAACAAGAAAAAGGAAATTGTTTTCAAAATCAGTTTTACAAAACTAAGGTCATCAAACAAATTTTTTTGTTTTTAAAAATAAAAAATTATTTTACAAAACAGGGCCATAGTCATTGGGATAAACCTTGATTTGGTCTACAATTCCCAGTGAGATCTTATGTTGTAAAACATAAATATTTAAACAACTGAATAATCTGATATATTAATCATTAAATGTTCGAAAAAATCATTTTTAATATTTTTTATCTTAAAAGAATTTTATTCAATCACGGATGATATTGAAATGGTTCATTTTAGAGATATTTTGAATATTGATTACTTAAAATATGAAGTACAGAAAGTAAAAAACTGTCAAATAGAATGTTAAAGAAAAAAATGTAGCAATGTTATTTATATATTCAAAATCCTATGCATGTTAACAAGTAGTGAATTATTAATAATGTGTATTATTTACTTAACATATTAATAATATGTTTTTAAATTTTTAAGAATTCACTCATTACTAATAATACAAGTCAAGTATAAAATTTTAAGCGCCGAAGAAATATTATAAAAAATGTCATATAGAATAAGATACGGATATTATTTATAGATTTTGAATAAGAAGATACTAATAACACGAAAAATATCTTTTCTTTTGGAGTTACCCAACCCTAATTATCTCTTTGAGATGAGTTGGCTCCCTCCGGTATCCCCACGAGCTTCGACTCTTTGAGCCGACTATGAGACTAATCCAGAGTGCTGGGGAACAGTGATGGCTAAAGGTTCAACCCCCTCCCCAAGAATGCATTCAGCGGGAATCGAACACATATCCAACCCCACTAACTCAACGTCAAGTTACCAACTGAGCTGCACCCATTGAGTTACGCAGGATATCTTTATTATCAAATATTTTTATTACTAATTTATTATTATTTTAATTACCGTTAGATTTCATTTTTCAACTGACAATTTTTGAAATTTTTTTGAAAAAGAAGAAAAAAACAGTTTTTAATATACTCTTCAAAATATATAATTATATTAAATTGACAATAGATTAATTTGATAAAAATAAAAATAACCTAAATCATTCTCATAGGCTAAAAATTGTAAAAGAGTAGTGTGTGTAGTGACTGGGTCCAGCTAAGAGCGCGTTGGCAAATATCATTATCGTTGCTCATTGGTCTCTCCTTTCCTTTGTCTCTCTCTCTACTATAATCTTAAGACACAAACCTTATTATTTGTTTGTAAATTGTAATCCCTAATCATTAGTTAGCATAAAACCTATGATTGTATGCATGCCTAACACGTGTCTAGACCTGCTTCACAGTCTCTATGAGTTCACAAACAGTCACACCACATACCATTATTCATTCAGATAAAAAAAAATAAAAAAAAATAAAAAAATCTTGCATCCTTCTACACCTTTTCCACCGGTCAATTTTCTTCACCTTCTACCCCACTGTCATAATCTTTTCTCGCACTCAAAAAATATCTATCTTTTACCACATTAATTTTAGCTACAGTATCCCATTCCGCTCCTCCACCTCTCTTTAACTTTTATTATTCTTGTTCTTAGCTTATGACAAAGAAGTAATCATATAATATAATATTATCAAATTTGAAAGGAAAACTTATGAAAAAAAAAAGGAAAAAAAATAAAAAAAAGGATTTTGTTGCCTCCCCTTGTGTAAAATTCAGATATCTGTCTACCCTTTTTCCTCCTAATTACAGATGTTGCTGCGTTTGTCCCTTTTCTTCTATAAGAAGTAGAACCAACCACACCAACTAAACCTAAGTCACTTTTTTTTCTTCCTGAGAAATTAGCCATGTCTGGTTTGTATAATCCCAATTTCTCACCAGCTAGAGCTGCTTCTCCTCAGATTAGAACCACCCCAGATGTGGACAGGTATAAAAATACAATCTTGGTGAATTCATCTCATTCATTTCATTCTTCAAATTTTGAATTTCCCTTTGGTATTGTTCATTACTTGGGATTCTTTTTTTTTTTTTCAGTCAGTACGTGACTGAGTTGTTGGCAGAGCATCAAAAGCTTGGACCTTTCATGCAAGTTCTTCCCATATGCACTCGTCTATTGAATCAAGGTTTAGTTGTGGATCTGTCTCTCTTTCTTTGTTATTTTCACTTTTTCTTGTATATAGCAGCATGCTTAATGTGCCCAGATCGCCTTTATTATCCTATTGATCATGCATCGATTGCTTTTTCCTTTCCCTTTCCCACCCTTCAGTGTTGATTGGGGTGACATGGTTTTCTTCTCAATTCACTTGACAGTACACTGATGTTTCTTTTTCTTTGAGAAAACTGCGAGTTTAGTGGTGGGGGATTAAAACCCCAATTAGACCGTTTTCTATGTTATTTGATCATTGAAGTTGTTGTTGTGGTGAGTGATGGTTGGGTTGGGTCTTTTGTATAATGCACTTCATAGTTTTAACCTTGTAAATATTAACTGGATTTTCTTTGTTGTAAATTTGACAAATTTACAGGTAAATCAAATGTAAAATAAGCAATGGAAATTTTGATGTTGATAATGTTCCTCTGCGTTTATGATTTAAGAATCTGAAAAGTATAAATCTGTTGGGTTAGTTTTGAAGTACGGATATCCTTCATTATCTTTTGATGACTAATAGAAGATCCTTACAAAGGGACCTTGCTTATATTCTGTATGGGAAAATGAAAATGTCAGATTAGAAGTATTTGACATTATTTTTCATTTGTGATTTTGGGCCTTATGCTATGCTTGGATGAGAGGTAAAGAGGGGGAAGGGAGGAGAAAAGCATTCGATCCTGTGATCAAGCAGGCCCCGTAAGGGCTTAGTACCATTTGAGCTAACATTTCTGCGCCCCTCACTTTAACGTATACTCCCAAGCTATGGGTAGAGGTTTCTGTGATTTCCTTTCTCAAACATCCAAACAAGGGAAGTAATTTTTGTATCCCCTTCCTTTCCTTCCTTTCAGGTCTCTTGCTATCCACTCAAAAATCAAAATGTTCCAAATATAGCATTAAGGAGAAGAACTTGGTGTTTAAATATTATGCAGGGTACTGCACTACTGGCCTGGTACCTTTAATATAGGGGGAGTTGACTGCAAGGGATCTTGCTCACAAAAACTTAGGCCTTGCATATGCTGTTCAGTTTCTGTCAATATTGAACTTCGGCTGATGTAGTTCTGTTAGAGATATAAACCATTCATGTGTCTTAACCAAACAACTTAAGCTTTTATGAGAGTTGGTACTTAACATGGTATTAAAGACTCATTGACCAAGTGTTGAGGAATTCGATCTTTGTTGCTTTCCTTCTTCTTAATAGAAGTTGAATTTCAGCACAAGGTAAAGTAGGCCCATTGGATTGTTCACACATCAAGCTCAAAGCTCTCTTGCACGAGGGAGCATGTTAGGGATATTAAACCATTCATGTACCTTCATGTAATAGCTTAATCTTTTAGGAAAGAAGGACTTTGATAAGTTCGTTACAAATGATGTTGTCTTCTTTTTGATATAGTTTGTTCCACAATATCTGTTCATTGCTCCATTTTTTTTTTCATAAAATAAATTTAAATATATTTTTTACAGCAAGATCCTTTTCTATTCAATAGTTATGATTTTAAATAGTACATATAGCCATAGGTTTCTTATTACATTGGTTCTCCTTGTGCAGAAATAATAAGAGCTTCTGGAATGTTGTCCAATCAAGGTTTTGGTGACTTTGACCGACTGCGGCATAGAAGCCCTAGTCCTTTGGCATCTTCCAACCTCATGTCAAATGTCACTGGGACAGGATTGGGTGGATGGAATGGTCTTCAGCAGGAGGTGACTGCTATTCAAATTATTTATCTTTACATCTGAAATTTATATCCACAACTTATGCTTGTCATAGTTTGAGTATCATTTGTTCATGTAGATACAAATTTTTTTATGCTACTTTCTATAGTGCATGACTAGTAAGTGACTCTTATATAAGACTATTAAGTTCTTATTTACTTGTTTAATTCCTACAGTTGGACAATGTTAAGATTTTGTCATCTACAGTTAGATACAAATTTTGTTATGCTACTTTCTATAGTGCATGACTAGTAAGTGACTCTTATATAAGACTATAAATTCTCATTTACTTGTTTAATTCCTACAGTTGGACAATGTTAAGATTTTGTCATTTACAGTTAGCCCAATGGTCTGGATTGTGATGTAAGAAGTATTCAACTCATGGCATATTGTGCTTATTCCTTGCATCCATTCATTAATAATAGTAGTAGTAGGTAGTATATCGCCAGCAAGTTGTTGATGGTTTAGGATAATATTTATTATCACATACCACAACACAAAGTGCCTGTTTAGCATGTCTTATTTTTAACTTATTGTCTCCTTAAAAATAGAAGTTTAACCAAATATAATTTTATAAAAGCTTTTATTATAAATATGTATATATATATATATATATATATATATATAATATAATAAAGAAAAAAGCTAAAAGTTAAAAGCTCCCAAGAGGAGTTTTTTTTAAGATGTATATCAGCTTTTTGGAGTCCTCATATTTATTTTACAATTTTACCTTTATTCTAAACTTGTTTTTGTAAATTTTATCCTTTACCCTAATAATCCACCTTAATAACAAATTATTTCACTTTCCCTCCTTCAATATAATCATCAAACAGCTTTAGCTTTATTTTTCAAGCTCTTTTTTTTTTTTTAACTTTAGCTTAAAAGTAGCTTTTAGCTTAAAAAAAAAGTGCCAAACAGGCTCAAAGAAAGTTATTATTAAAATATAAAGTTTTAGGATAATATAGTGGGAGTAATACCTATACCTTGCCTGGTACTATAAAGCTTCCACTATGCACAGGGTCCAGGGAAGGGTCAAACTCATTGGAAAAGATAAAAAAAATGAATTTTTGGGTTTCCCCATAATAATGGGTTGAAAATACCTAAAATATTGATTAAGAAAGATTGGGGAAGACAATTAAGATGGAACACATCAATTTGATGAAATGGCTTACTCATGTATGAAGCTTTCTATAAAGAAGGGGGGAGGAGTGAAGTTTTGGTTGAAATTTATCTCAGGAATTTGACACATGGCATTGTGAGCAAGGCTTGGACTGTGATATATGCGTGTGTGAGTGAGTGCCATAAGATCAGGTTTGAGATCGGAGCAGATGCAGGCTCTGTGCTCATTCATTCTTAAAACTTCATATTAATTTCCTGAGAAACAGGACCCTGACTCGAGACAGGATGTGAGGCCATGTAGTTTAATTTAGTCAAGGATCTTGTATGTCAAAAAATGTTAAATAATAGAAGGGCATGACTGAAGTTTGAACGCATTCATTAATTAGAAGGAATTTTATGAGAAGAGGGATGAGTAAAAACAAGCAAACCAATAAGCGCTTCCAACTCTCAGAAAAAAAATGAAAATTTTGAGAAAAGGGCAGACAGATCCAATCTTCTCTGTGATCTAAGTCAGAACACTTTGTGGTATGGTGATATTGGCATTATCTTGTTGTTCAACGTCCCAATGCGATAATACTTTAAAGTAGTAACGTGAACTGCTGAAAGCAAAGGTGGGTATAGGTAATAGAGAATATGACTGATCATATTATCCATGAAAGCAAACTATATGACCTGCTGAAAACTTTGACACTGCTTCGTTCAATTATCTCTATTTTGATCTGGTTGCCTCACTTTTCAGTATGTAACTTCTTAACTTCCTGGATCGTTGGCTACCTGGATTGATAATGCTAGTTCTTTTCTAGTTTTTTTTTTTTTTTTTTAATAACAAAAACCTTTATCATTTGTTCTTGTTCTTGTTCTTGTTCTTCACCATGTTCTTTTTCTGCACTATATGAGCTTTTATGCATCTCAGATAACGTAACTTTTTTTATGCAAAGCAGAGATTATGTGGAACTCCTGGAATGACAATGGACTGGCAAGTTGCTCCTGCAAGTCCCAGTTCATACACTGTTAAGAGGATTTTGCGCTTGGAAATTCCAGTTGATACATACCCCAATGTAAGCTTTTATACAAATTCTAGTTTAACATAGGCAATTAATTACTTGGTCAGACCGCTGTATTTTATCTTTCCTGAAACTGAAGGTTCTATCAACTAAAGTAATTTAAATATATTTCTCTTTGTCTTTGTTGCATTAGTTCAATTTTGTTGGAAGACTTCTGGGACCTCGAGGCAATTCCCTGAAACGGGTAGAAGCTACTACAGGTTGCCGGGTGTATATTAGAGGAAAGGGATCAATAAAGGATCCAGACAAGGTAATGAAGACCTTCATATGATTTTCCAGGTCTTATATTGAAAAATGCATAAAAAAAAATTGATGCTTCCTTTTTTATTAATCTATATATTTTATTTTTTGTGTAATAACTGAGATTATTATCCTTTTTGATCTTAAGGAAGAGAAATTAAGAGGAAGACCAGGCTATGAGCATCTCAATGAGCCACTACACATTTTAATTGAGGCTGATTTACCTGCTAATATTGTTGATATAAGGCTCAGGCAGGCTCAGGAAGTTATAGAAGAATTGCTCAAACCTGTGGTGAGTTCCTTGACCCTGTATCTTAATCTTCTCTCTACATGATGTTGGGTGAGCTGGCTGCTATTCTACTTCACTTTGTTTAAGGCCAGTATTAACATTACTGATCTAGGAAAGTGTAGACACATTTGAAAAAGTAAATGTAAATAAACAGCTTATCTTTAATGTTTTTAAGTTTGTAAGGTGAATAGTTAATTCCGTGGATACAACTACAAGTGATATCATTTGATTTTTTGAAGTGAGGAATAAAAGTTTCGAAGCTAGATATTAAGTGACTTGATAACAATTATTGGGTTAGGGAAACTGATAAGGATCCATGGGATCACCACCCCAAAAGCTAGCTCAAAGGGTGGATGTGCCCAAGGCCTTATAAATCCCACACTAGTTGCCTACACAATCAATATAGGACTCCTAACATTGCCACCCCCCTTTAAGGCCGACGTCCATGGCGGCTCACTCTAACCCGGTGGTAGCCCTTTCCCCCTTTGGGCAGCTTCACCCACCTATCAGGTAGCCCTTTTCGCGATCCGGCTCTCAACGAGAGCACTAAATGATAGGGACCCATGGGATCACCACCCTAAAAGCTAGCTGAAAGAGTAAGAGTGTCCAAGGCCTTATAAATCCCACACTAGTTGCCTACATAATCAATGGGGGACTCCTAACAGAAACCACTCCTTTTGTTTTCTCATCCAAGGTTTTCCACTTTACATTTTACTTTCTAAAGTTTGCCTTGAACTTTAAAGGATTCAAACCCTTGTAGGTTGACTTATTATCATTCAGTTGGAGACCAGATGATTTTCCTTTTACCTTTCCCTTTTTCCTGAAACATTCTGTTGGAATCACTTTAACCTAGCTGATTAAATTGGTGGATAATATCTTAAAAATATGGTGCAATTTAAACCCTTTTCCCAAGTTCTACTGTTTAGAACAATATATTCCTTGACTCAAACCATCTTTTGGTTGGAAATCAGGAAAACGGAAACTTCGATATGGTAACCACTTTGTTGATTCATCAATGTTGTGAGAAGTTTTTAATATTTACTTTCTCTTGAATGTCAACTTGTGATATGCAGGATGAGTCCCAGGACTTTATTAAGAGGCAGCAGTTGCGGGAATTAGCATTGCTGAATTCAAATTTCAGAGAAGAGAGTCCTGGACCAAGCGGTAGTGTATCTCCATTCAATTCTAGTGGAATGAAAAGAGCAAAAACTGGTAGATGAAAGGGGTTTCCTTCTTGTTGTGGACGGTTTCATTGCTGGGAGTATCTTCCAGTACATCTCAATCAATGCAGCTTTTAAAGAATAGGCTAACAATTATTGCTGTCTAGTATTCTGGTGGTTTTTCATTCCCCCCCCTCCTTTTCATCCTACATTTTTCTTCTTAAACAAAAGGAGGCAAAGCTAGAAAGGTTTTCAGAAAAAAAAAAAAATTTTAAAAAAGAAGAAAAAGAAAGATACATAGTTGGGTATTGAGAATAGGCTTTGTTCAGATCAGTCTTTTGTAAACTTGATACATTTATTGGATTTATTCTTGCGTCAGTAACTCATGAGAAGTGTGGAATATACATGTGATGGGTGAAGTTTTAGGTCCAAGTGGATCAAGTTTTGTGGGCATGTGACATGTCAAGTTAGTGTAGGGTGGATTCTTTTTGGTTATTTGTCACAAGCATTTGTATTCTCTTCCACAGCTATGCACTGAAGTTGGAACGAGGCATGTCATACATACAGATATCTAACCATGTCTCATCAAATGAAAAACCGTGGTATTCCTTTATATATAGAATAGTACATATCTTATTTCTTGAGCAAGTGTTTGATATTTATGCCATCTTGTTAAAGTGCAAATACGGGGTATTGTTCTTCCTTTTCTTTTCTTTTTTTATTTGTTTTATTTTCTCTTTTTCGGGCTAAACGTTAGTCGTTTTTAAGAGAGGTTACATGCTCAGAGTAGTTTGAGCATAGTACATAACTATGCCTGAACCTGCGCAACATTAGAGATTAGTTCCGTGAACAAAAGGATATTAAGTCCTACACCAAAATATTGAACCTACTTCATTGATAACCCATTGGCACAAAAAGGAAGTAGAATATATATATAATAGATATAGATGCTTCTATTTGAATTTCTTGAGAAATAAGGACTTGGGTTTTCTGCTGCTAGCAACTAGAGACTAGTGTTATTAAAATCGGTTCCACAGTCAATTATGTAGTTATATATGTAATCCGGTCAAGAAGAATCGGTAAATTGGTAAAAAATATATGTAATTCGGTCAAGAATCAATAAATTGGTAAAAAATTGGGCTCAATCGTATTAATTTTGTATCAATTTTTTGATTGAACCAATTTTTGAAAATTATAGCAAAATATTCCATTATAATTGCACTTTTGAGATTTGAACTTTGCATATAAAAGAAGAGGAGTGACATGCTAATTAATAAGGGAAATTAATTTGATTGTTATATTATTTCTATTTATAAATTTATTATATGTTTTTATATAAAATTAACTTGAACAGTTCAACCAACGATCCATTGATATTTTGACCGAGTCGATAATGGGTTCAAATTTAATAACATTGCTATAGGCAATAAGAAATATTTATATAGTGGGAGCAAGGAAGATTATTCACTTTGAATTCAATTTACAAACTGCCTCGTGATTAAAATTATTAAAGAGTCGAAGAGTCTCATAGCCGACTCAAAGAGTCGAAGCCCGTGGGGATATCGGAGGGAGCCAACTCGTCTCAAAGAGATAATTAGGGTTGGGTAACTCCAAAAAATTATTAAATAATTTATGAAAATATATATATTTTTTTTCAAAAATGCCCACTTTACTTTTTATTGTTTTTTTCTTCGCATAAGAAAAGTTAATACTATCAAATTACTTAATATAATCTCATCATTATAAATTATAATAGGGGCAATATATTCTTACATCGGTATAAGAATTAGAAGTCTTACACTCAATCTTGATTATTGACCCACTTGTATCCAATGACTTACATTACTAAAAAATTTGAGTTGTTAGATATAAATAAATTCAATAGATAAAATTAAGAGTACAACTTTTAGTGATGAAAAATGATTGTCACCCATTATGTTGAAGTGTTGCATCACGTGGGATTGTTTGGGTTTAAAATGGAAAGCCCTCCTTACCTTTATAATGACCCGAAAAAGTAAGCTTTCTGGGGGGGACAAAAATATTATTATATCTTTATACAGTGTAATATTGAAATATCTTGTTTCTCTCCGATTTAGCGTAATCCACGTGGCAGCTGACGAGTTTCAATTCGCTAGTTTCGTCACTGAGACACTCACTATCTTTGTTTAGGGCGTATCTAGTAGGGTTTTGAAGGTTATAGTTGTTCGCTCATTTGTTGTTGTATTATCTGCATTTCTTCAATATTCAATTAAAATCATTATAATGTGATTTTCTGTTTTCAATTTCCAATCTTTTTTGTTGCCTCTTCGAATTGTTGTGTTGATGTGTGTTGTTACATTTCAGGGATTTGATTCATAGTAACAATGGCAATGGCAGCACAAGCCATGCGTTTTTCTCCTCTCTCCGGTCACTACCGTTATTACCATAATGCCCCTTCTTTCCCTTGGCGGCCTCCTCGCATTCTCTCCATCAAGCCCAACCAAAGATTGCACCTTTCCTTCTCTGCAGGCCACGGCGGAGGAGGAGGCGGCGGCTGCGGCCGCGGCGGAGGAGGAGACTCTGATGGGGACTTGAATAACGGTGATGGTGATGGTGATGGATTTGGGGTTCTGGGTATGGTTGTAAATGGATGGAGATCAAGGGTTGCAGCTGATCCACAATTTCCTTTCAAGGTTTTGATGGAGGAGTTGGTGGGTGTGAGTGCATGTGTTCTTGGTGACATGGCTACTCGTCCCAATTTCGGTTTGAATGAGCTTGACTTTGTTTTTTCAACTCTTGTTGTTGGTTCTATTCTCAATTTCACACTCATGTATCTCTTGGCACCAACCTTGTCCTCTTCTTCATCAAATCTGCCAGCAATGTTTGCTACTTGCCCCAACAGTCACATGTTTGAACCGGGTCCTTATGGCATTATGGACCGCTTTGGAACTCTTGTCTACAAGGGAGCTGTGTTTGCTCTTGTTGGCTTTGCTGTTGGCCTTGTTGGAACTGCCATTTCCAATGGTTTGATTATGATGAGGAAGAAGATGGATCCTAATTTTGAGACACCCAACAAGCCTCCTCCTACTCTTTTGAATGCTCTTACTTGGGCTGCTCATATGGGTTTTAGTAGCAATCTCAGATACCAAACTCTGAATGGTGTTGAGTTCATGTTGGAGAAAGGTCTTCCTCCCTTGGCATTCAAGTCCTCTGTGTTGGTTCTTAGACTCTTGAACAATGTTCTTGGAGGGATGACCTTTGTCATATTGGCAAGGTTTACAGGGTCACAGAATGTTGGCCAACCCAAGCCGGTCACTGTGGAAGACAGCAAAGAGGATTTTTACAAGTGATGGCATCATTGACATTCAATTCAATTCAATTCAATTCAATTTGGTTTGTTGTAGAGTATAGGAGAGACTGTCTTTTCTTAGTTTTCTCTAGCTTTGCTTTTGCTACTGTTCATAACTTGAATGCTCACCAAAATCTGGCACTTGTTTGTTCAGTGTTACAAATTATAATATAATGACATAAACAACATGCCAAAATTTATCAGATGCTTTCTTTTTCTGTTTTTTGAATTATAATGATTATGAAAAGCATTTGACAAATCTCACATGTTTAGAAGATCTACTAATCCCAACATTAACTAGTCGCAGCCATAGACAACCTTAGGCCCCTGTTATTTCTAGGGTAGGTGTTCCCGCCCTAATTCACTCCATTTTCACGAATACAAAATCATGGGCGTTTCTAAATCATTTTAGTTTGCGTGAGTTTACTAACTTCTTGGGCTATCCTCAAACTCATTCAACTTTAAATGTTCGTGGGACTTAATAGTGATATTGTGACCTACATTAAAAGCAAGCTAGTCTTGGAGGACAGCAAGGTTGAACTATTATTTTATTGAGTTGCCAGAGGCAATTTCCAATTGTTCATTAATTTACAATTACTGATGTAAAAATTGAAAGAAAGAAAAAAAATTATTTCACTGCCGCAAGTGCTATTTCTCATAAGCATAAGAGAAAAACAATTAACCATCCATAGCTATTTATATATTATAAACAATTGTCATAAAATATCTTGGAACACAACTAGCAAAATGCTAGTTTAAGATAAAGGAAAGTGTTGGTTCTATTTGATCCATTTTTCAGTTTTACATTGCTCATCATCAAGTAGGCAATTTAGAGCATGACTATTTACATTCTATATACATGATCTGAATGGAACTTGGTCACTTGTAAATCTGCCCGAAGTTCCCCCCACACCCCATTTTGAGGGGCTGCCCCAAAACAAATGAGACCAAAGGAGAAAGCCTGTCACTAAAATAAAGAAAAAACTAATGTTCTGTCGGTATACATTACAATCTTCTGTGCATGGCAATAAATCCTCAGAAGGCACTTCCACTTGAATTCACTCCTTCTAAATCTTCTATTAAGGATCTCTTCAAATTTGGGCAACATGTCTTGGGAGATCAAACTAGAGAAATGTATACTTCTGTTGTAAGCACATAACAATAGAGGATCCAGGAAATGCAGCACTATCGTCTTATCTGACAGCCTCAGGCGCAGAATTGCAGTAAGGTGTATGCAAGCAAACCAGCCTAGTGAATGTTAAGCATAAAGTAGCAAACCCAATTCCCATAATGAGGCCGAAGGTGCTCTTCCGCTTGTCCAGGCTAAGTGCTCTCACAACTACATTTCCAAAACTTGGAATTAATCCTCCACAAGCCAGAACCATTATGTGATCAAGACCACTATAATCAATACCAGAGAGAATAGATCCAATTGCTGATATTGGACCCATAAATCCAATTATGGCAGCTGTTGCAAGAGAACCATGCCAACTGTCAGTGGCACCAAATATGCAGCTAGCGACAGCAGCACCTCGAGGAAGCCCGTGTAGAGAGACTGGAAGGACCATGTGACGACCAAGTCCATATGCTTTTGGTGCAGCTACTCCCAATGCAAGTCCTTCAGCCAAAGCATGTAAAGCAACTGCACCGCATGATATGAATGATTGAAGGGTGTGAACACTCACTGGGAAGCCAGTGACTGTTGGTAAGTCATTGACTGAGGCTTTTTTGCGACTTGCCACCTTCAATACACCAGAGCTAGAAACATGGATAAAAGCAGCACCCATAGCAAGGAGTGTCACAACGGGAACAAATCCCAATTTTGAAGACAAAATAAGCTGTACTGGTCGCCAGGCACCAAGGACAAAGGCAATACCACATGCTGTGCCCATGAGAAGAGCATGCTGAAGACGAAAAGCAAGAGCAAATGCAACCAGAATAATCCCACCAAGTAATGGGCCAACACCAAAAAGTAATGAAACAAAGAAGCCAGAAGCATCCTCAGAGCTGCAACATAAAAAAAAAAAAAAAATCAGTAAAAAGTCTTAACTTCTGTGGTAGTGTTGATGTGGAAAACAAAGAAGTTCAGCTTCATATTACAGTCATTATAAAAAAACTATAGCAGAAGGAAAAAGTAAATTTAAGCAACATTTCTGATCTTTAAAATTCAGCAACAAAACCGAACACCTTGAGGAATGATGATTAATACTATCCATACAACTAATAAAACTGAGCGAGTAATGCTACACAGCAACGAAAAGTCAGCAAAGATTTTGACAGAATTCAACTAGATTTAAGGGTATTTATTGGATAAGATAGTGGTAGAGGCTACTCATCAATCCAAGAGTCAATAAGCATGCCAACTCACTATGTTAAAAATTCTGGTATTTTCCTAACCGAATACAACCTAATGTAGCTGATTAAAATACAATATACAAACTCACTTATAGTCACGGTTGAAATTCTGAAAGAGGGTGCTGAGAGCTTCCATAAATGCTACCGAAAGTGTTGCTGCTGATGCAACCTGCGAAGCATTGGCTTCCTGTATCCAAAAGCAAGAGGAACGAATATTATATATCTGAAAACAGGATTGTACAAAAGGTCTATAGGTTTGGCACAAAGAGCTAAAATCCTACAAATCCCTGGAAGAAAACGGGTGGTAAAAGAACAAAGATATACACCAACCACCCAGTTTAGAAATTAAGATGTCGCCATCCCTCTTCACATTAGTGTTTCCAAGTTAGTCATTTAATGAGTATGCTATACTCTGGTCACTCTAGGTTGGTACAAAATGGTAAAAAAAAAAAAAACTTTTTTTTTTATTTCTTTTTTCCTTTCAATCTTTTTTCTCTGATTTATTTATTTATGTATTTTTCCTTCTTTTTTTTGTTGTCCCTCTATGTCTTTTTTTTTTACTTTCTTATTCTCTTTTGTCCTTTTATATATCTTTATTTTAATTTATTTTTCCTTTTAATTGTTTACTGCTATTTTTTTTTATGGATAATGTTATATATATATATATATATATATATATATATAGACTGGATCCTTTAACACCAAATACTAACATTTGATTTCTATCAAACTAATGGTTATAACTTATTGGGAATTAATAAGTATAATTCAATAAATTATAACCGTTAGATTCACCAAAATTAACGATTAAGATTTGGTATTAAACTTTTTAGTTTGAAACCGATGTCAAAAAAGAATTTAATCTTTTTTATCAATCTTTTCCTACTTTTCATTTGGATTCATCTGCCATCGACTTGGGATAAAAGTATTATTGATATTGGTGTCATGAGTGTTAGATTGAAATAATTTTTTCTTTGAATCTGAATGTACAGTAATTTTCCCTCATTCTGTAATCAAATGTCTGGGTTTCTATCAGATGATACAATAAACTAACTTGATTACCAAACTAAACTGTATTTTATTACAAAAACCATTCAAGTAATGTTTTAACCTATTCAACTACTTAGAACCAGGGCTTGAAATAAAAATGACAGCAGTGCTGGATTTAGGAATTCCAAGATTTATGACTTTTCAAAAGCTGCTATTCTGTGCAAAAGCAAATGCAGAAGAATGTTAAAAATTTGTTTGGTAAGCAAGTCATTTATGAAGAGGATAACTATGATTGTTAAGATTTAAGAAACATTAACGTTTGTTTAGGCGTTTCACATTTTTTACAGCCACACAACAACTTTGACCATCCATTAGGGGTGGTATGCAGAAGTACCTATGACTTGTAAAAAGCACAGAATAAGTTTTCATAAACATTGTAGCTTTTGATTGTGCAAAGCAAGGGCTCGAAGAGCCATATCATTTCCAAATGGAGGCTTATTCTTCTTGCAACCAAACAGTACTGCTGCATATTTAATTTGAAGGTTCAAAATCAAAGATGGACAAATGGCTTGCTTATTTATTTATTTTTTTGGCAGACACAAATGGCTTACTTTACCAGTTGTAAAAACATTAAAAAAAAAAGAACTAAAATATAGTAGTTATTGAAAGCCAACTTCAATTCTTAAAATTGTCATGCGAGATGAAAGGATCAGAAGATCCAATTTTATGAAAAATTAAAAGTACATACCTTGAATGCATCAGGAAGTACTTCTGCAACAACCATCCAGATCATGCATCCAGCAGCAAACCCCGTACAGAAAGGCAGGAACTTACTAAATGCATCAGCACAAATAAATGAAGGAACAGCTACGATTGGCTGCATTAACATTATACATGTTTAAAGAGGCCAGGTCAAAGAGTGCAAAAACAAGTTTAAAAAAGTTATCAGAAAAAAGTCTTAAGAATTATTGTCCAATATATTAAGTTTCTTTTGCTGACTTTAACAAATAAGGCATAGTATACACTATACACATTAAGACCACTAGGCTAGTTTTAGAAGAGCATAGTATCCACTCATACCAATATGCAATAATCCTAATAGTCCTAGCTCAAGCCTAAAGATAATATTTTTTAGCCACTACTGAAGCAACTTTATCAGGTAAAAAATTATAAAAATTTTGTAACAGTTAACCATTTTTTATTCACTAAATTATTAGGATTAATGGACATATTAATAGTATTAATGAAAAACACTAAACTAATTGGATGCCCTAAGGTATAGAGTGACTGGCCATGCGACTGCCGACTTGGCCGCATGACACAAGCAGTTTTACGTTGGATTTGATTCCATTAGGCTTGAGAACATTGAGAATTTCAAGCTATTCCTACCCATATCTGATAGGAAACATATCCTATCCAAACAAGGGATGATTGTATCACTAGTAGAAACTAGAAGGAAATACAGAAATGTAAGAGCAGTGTTCCATATGTCTCATCCTCCCTAATTAGTGTTTTGGTCTCCGAGAATATACTTGTAGAGGTATTTTCGGCCCAACTTTAGTAGCCACTGGGAGCATATCTTTGACGGGACTATGTGATAACACAAGAACAGATTAGTCTGTTATTGGATAGAATGAAGCTAGCCAACAGTGAAACACTCAACCAAAAATTTTGTGTTATTTTCATATAAAAGGACTGAGTTGCAAGAAAGTTAATAAACCATAGAACCAAATGGACTAACCACTTAACATATTATGCCTCACTTGATTCAGACTAAAGCCTACCTAAGTACAGTACACGTACAAGTTGCAAGTTGCAACAACCAAGACCTACCCAAACATACTCCTATGAATAATTTTAACATACTGTAGCTCAATTACAGAAGACAAAATTGAGGCTTTCAACAACTGACTGATGGGACAAAAGATTTACTACAAAATTTCAGAAAGATAGCTCTTCAAACTGAATCTATAATATTTTCTTCTTCACAATGTAATATATTTCAACTTTTAAATTAACATGTACCTGAGGTAAAGATGTAATAATGCTCCATAACATAGCATTCTGTGGGGAAACACCCCTTGATGCCAGCACCATGCTCACAGCCAACCCCTCTGGTATGTTGTGTACGGCAATAGCTAAAGTTACCAACAGGCCTTGCGAGAAACCCTTTGATCCAGCAAAGGAGACCCCAACTCCAGATCCCTCCCCAAAAGAATGGAGAGTCATTATTCCAATTACAAGAACAACTTTGGTTGCATCAGCGCCCTTTATATCCAACATACTTACTTCCCCACATTGCTCGAGAAACTAAAACCCATAAGATTATGAAAGACACAAATGAGACCACGACAAAGCTACTTAAAATTTGGGTATTACATAACAACAGTCATCAAAATTGCTAACATTCCGTAAGTAGATTGATTGTGACTTGTGAGATTCATTGAAAAATGATGTTGATGGCTTCTAACAAGAAAAGTGAATATGTAAGCCCTTTTTCAAATTTGAAATTCCAAAAAAAATAAGAAAATTAGACAGGGAGCTAATCTTACCAATAGGAAAACAGTACAGGGTGAACAGGAGTGTATAGAACATGATCTATATGAGCTGAGAGTATAACTACTTAGATATTTATCTTTAGTAGTGCTATACTTGAAGCCAAGTCATCAAATACCCTTAAGGCATTTCCTTATAAGTTACATATAGTGTAAACCAGGGAGAAAAGGAAATTAAAATGGTTTGCAAATTCACACAACATAAAAGAAAACTAAATGTATCCATGACCTTGCATAGAAGCAGCACTCAACAAAGACAGCAACAACAGAAAAGCACCTTTTTCTCCTGTGCAAGAAGGAGAAAGATAGTGATACAAAGATCAGGAAAAATCATCATTACCTTCTTACATAACCAAATAAAGATGCCACCAGCTAAAATCCCAGTCACAACCCAATTTCCAGCTCCATAATCCTGCCCTTCCTGTATGAGATCAAAGCTTGCAGCCAACATAACACCTGCTGCCATTCCATTGCATAATCCAGCCCATTGTGGATCAAGCTCCACAAAGAAGAAAGGCACAGCACCTAAACCAGTGGCAGCTGCCATTGCTAATGTAAACAATGCAACCGTTGAAACCGAAACTTTACTGCTTCCACCTTTTCTGTTACCTAGCACATTATTGGGTTCCTCAAACTTGAAGGAATTCTCAACACCAGTGCCATCAATTACATTGGTTCCTGCATTCTTATGCGGAGCAGCTCTGAGCTTTTGTGAAACTTGATGCTCGAATTCAGCTTTTGAACCACCAAAGCAAAGAGCCATTAACAGTAGCAAGAAGAATGGAACAAATAACTTAGGCCTCATATTTGGAGCCATGTGGAATATAATACAATCTTCTCTTAGATAGAGTGTTTCCTTTTTAAACCATCCAACGGCCCCAATGCAAAATTTGCAGAAGCTACAACTCCATAAGAAACGGAGGAAGCAGAACAAAAGATTTTTGCACAAAGAATTCAGGAAAGCACTTGTTGAAATCAAAATATTTAAAGAATGATAACTTGCTTCATATTAACACCCCATACAACATGCATTCAGAGATAACATAATGCATTACAATAACATATATGCATAACACTTGTTAAATGAAAGAAGGAGGAACAATATACATGATATCCCCTTGGAATAACACAAAATTAAAACCCAAAATTGACACCAAATCACATAGATGCATGATCCTTAAAAAGAAGAATGTGCACTGAAATCAAAGTGAACTGGGAAATCAGAATTGAATATGATTAATGAGATGTGTAATTTGATGATTGATGGGGGGATAAGATGACAAAAAAGAAAAGGTGAAGGCTTTTTTAATTTTAAAACCCTACTTGTTGTAGAGGTAGTGGCGTGGGAGTTGAATGGAATATGAATCAGAATAAGGAAGGAATATCTCTTTGTTTATTGTTTGGTTGGTTACTTATGAATGGGAATTCCGCTTTGAAATCGTCTGCCATGCAACCACCACTCATATTTGTTGAAATTACCAAATAGGCTTTGGGGCAAAAATAAACATAAATATCGAATTACTATTTTTTATGTAATAAGAAATAATTTTTTTTTTCCTCACTCTTCTAATTACATTGATCCACATAAATTTCATATACTTTTAATTATATATTATTTTTTATAACATAAAAAATATTAGTCCCCCGTTTAATGTTATGTTAAGCCTGTTTTCTTTTTTGAATTGTGATGTCTTATTCTCTTCTATGAATACAACAATTGAAAACGCACGGACCGTTGTTGACGTCACCGAACCGGTTTCCTAGTACCACTTGTAACCAAACAATGGTAAATCAGTTGTTGCATAAAAATTGAGCAATGGAAAGTAAAGGATTTTAGTTTCATTCTCCTATATTATTTTTGGGAGGGAATTAAATTTTTTATTTCTAATCTGTTCCGTATAATGTTATTAAAATTGGTCCCGTCAATAACCAGGTCGAGGTACCGGATCTCTGAGTCACTGGTTCAACCGCATAATTCGATAATTATATATAAATCTATAATTTATATAAAAAAATAATAAATATACTCAAATAGCTAAAAAAATAATATAAACTCTAAATATTTTAATATAAAAAAACAATAAATTATACATTATTGTCCTATAAAGGATCAAACAAACACATAATGCTTGTTATATTGGTGTTTCAGGTTCGGTAAACGACATCTCTAACTATCAAATCAAAATTCCTTGCACAACTGAGATAATATTAGTATTGTAAGTACATAACTTATTTAAGTCAATAAGTAACAGATCACTCAAATATGTCAATTATGATATTTTTTTTGAAAAACTTTTTTTTTATAAGTATTTTTCACCAAAATCGACCAAGTCGCACCGGGTCGTACTGGGTCTGATACTTGACCGATCCAATGTGATAATCGGACCGGTCAGATGACCAATTCATCGAATTCCTGGTCAATCCGGCTGATCCGATCCGATTTTCACAACATTGGTTCCGTACTCCAAATTAGTCAAGTAGCTGGCTCTAAAAGTCAAAACTTATAATAAAACTAGAAGAAACCTACTCGCCTCATAAAAATAATTAAGGTATATTTAAAAAAAAAAATCGGTTGTGAATTGTTATTGACTGTGCAAATCAACCCACTATACAACTTCCGTTTGTGACCATTTTCTCAAACGTAAATTTGTTAGATAGATAATATTAATTAACTGATATTGCTAATCAATTTTGTTTACTGTATCATACTTCTTTGCCTTATCTTTTCCACAATTCTCTCTATAAAAATACACATTTTGCAAAAAAAATTAGATTATTCGTTAATTATTCGAGGCCAAATTTTGTTGCTTCACATAATATTAAATTCATTTATTATTATTTGGACGAGCATAGTGGGTTTTATATTTTCTAAAAGATTAGTGCTAACGTTGCCTCACATTCAAATACAAACTAATGGATAAAAGGCGTTATTTATCATTAAAGAAGCTATGTCCTACACAAATATTATCATTTTTAGGGAAATATTTTTTATGATCCAAGACCACTCAATAATCTGGTGCTTCCTTTCATAACATCAATTTTTTTTTCCCTTTTTATCTCTGTTATTTTTTTTCTTTTTTAATTTTACCATTTCATTTACACTAAGGGAATCACCTAAAAAATGTTGATCCCGCATCACAATAAATAATCTCCACTTTTGGTAAACTTTACCGGGATAAGATATTGTGACACCCAAGTTATGTTACACTTATGTGACACCCAGTTAATCTCACCGTTAGATCGCTTATGTTGATCCAACGGTTATATTTATTTCCATCTTTGTATGGTCATGATTTCCCAAATTTAAAGTGAAAGCATTAAATATGGAAAATCATAACCATACAAAGGTAGAAATAAATATAAAATATTAAATTTGGGAAATCATGACCATACAAAGATGGAAATAAATATAACCGTTGATCAACATAAGCGATCTAACGGTGAGATTGACTGGGTGTCACATGGGTGTAACATAACTTGGGTGTCACAATATCCTATCCCAACTTTACCTATGTATATAGAGTTACATATTCGAGTAACATATCTCTAAAACCCTAGTCTTCCATTGTTATTGCGCAAATATCCCAACTTCAGTCGCAACATAATGTATTTAGCGATCTGTTATCCTTGCGGTCATCTGCTCCATAGAAATCGCTGGTTGGCATCATACTAAACACGATTTTCTACCAACAAAGCCCAGCACAATTGGTAGATAGCTGGATTTGGTAGGTAGTTAGATTTCTTAAACATATTGACAGGAGTTCGATTCTTGGCTGTGTGTACGGAGAAAGCTTTGTTGGGAGAGGTTTACCCACTTAATGTGATCTCCCGCCTCAAAAGGATTAGTCTTCAGCTATCGGCAGGAGAATACATTGGAAAACCAAAAAAAAAAAAACACGATTTTCTTGTATCATACAATTATATATATCATTTATCAAATATTATAATAACTGATAATTAGTACCCACTCAGAATATATAAAATAACTCTCTATTAAACCCAACTAGCAGAGTATTGGATGAAACACACAGAGTATATGCATAGTAAAAAAAGTTGTCATATTTTATATGCTGGTTTAATTAATTTATTTGTGTATATTTATAAAATAAATAAAATTAGTTGTAAATTGTTGTTAAGGTAATTGGAGAAGGGGTCGTGTTGTCCCAATTTTTTAACACACGGTTATCGTATACCAACAAAACAAAGTGTTTGCTTTGCGTGAACGAAAGGTTTTTCATTCGGGTTTGGACCAGCTCAAAAGCTTAAGTAAACTTGGGAGAAACCACACACAAACATGAAACTTTTGTTAAAAAAACAATAATATAGTAATACAAAGTATTATTTTAGGCAAGGAACAAGACACCTTGAACAACAAACACAAGGTAGGGGAAACAAAAATAGAGGTTAAAAAACTGAATATGAACAGAGAGTTTGTTTTTTTCACTTCAAACAATAGCATCCACTTGATGAAATCGTGAGAAAGTAACGCATAAATGTAAGCACGCAAGATGAAAGTAAAGAGATAGGCTACAAAGTTTGAATAGAGTTTCTGAACAGCTGGTACATGCAAAACGACTACTTATGTTAAAGTCTTAGGCAAATGCAATGATGGCTTTCCACGAAACAATGCTTCTCTCAGCTATTTGATCGAAATATAAACGTCTATGTAAATTGTAATCATGAAACAAAAGCTTATGTTTGCATAATTGTCAGCATTTAACTATCTTATAGATACGTATGAAAATGTAGCAACAATCTTCAATATATTTACAAAATCCCATTTGGGAACTACTAGCATTAGCTCTGTCCCTAATGAACTTCCCATCTTTAATATATGGGGAATGATCCATTTACAATTTTTTTTTTACAAATTACACTAAGTATGACCGGTCATACACTCGTGATTGAAGTATGACCGGTCATACTTAGTGTAGTTTGTAAACAAAAAATTTGTAAATATAACCTTCCCCTTAATATATATAGTCTAAGTATTATAAAATGATAGTTAATTGGTATAATTACATTTTGTATGACTGTGGAACAACAAAGTAGAATATGTCCAAGAGACCAGCATGCATGATATCAAAGAGGATGAATTGTTAGAATAACACCACTGACAAGATTGCAGCCTCACAAATTTGAGGACATGTTCTGGTCTTCCATATATGATGATGATGGTACCAATTTACCAGAATTTTCAGAGGTGACGTCTGAGGAAATACTTTCAGTTTCTTGCAACATTTCAAGAATATTTTCCAGCTCCCTCACCACATCTAGCATTGATGGTCGCTCCTCTGGTTTGTCATGGCAACAACTAAGAGCCAAAGTTACAAACTTCTCCAAACAATCAGATGGACAGCAACCCATCCTGCTGTCAATGATGGAAAGTATCGCACCAGACTGACGCGACACATTAACCTGACATAACAGTGTACCATTAGTAAATAGTGTTGTGCATAGTATTTCTTTCTAAAGGCTATGTAAATCAGATATCTAACAGGATCTCATATTTAAATACACAGAAAACCACTTCCCATTAAACCTCGACGAGCGAGGATAGGGGTGCTGGCAATCGTTGTACACAGTCTTATTATTGCATATTTGCAAATGGCTATTTCCTGAATTCAAATCCGTGACCCTTTAGTCACATTTAAATACATAATATTGGACATTGCAAATTCAAAATGTTCCCTTTTCTGCACATTGTGCTGGCATTATAATAAAATTTCCAATACTATTTTTATCCAAAACTTTCATCATCAAACTGGGATGATAGTTGTCTTTTTCATCATTTCTTCATAACAAACAAAGAGAAAACCATTTGTTTCATCAGGTATAGTTATTAACTTCCCCCTCCCTTTTTATTTGTCCTTTACCTGGCATAACTTCTAACGTGACCAGAGATAAGAAAGAGGACTAGTGGGGCTATTAAAGAAGTACCTCGCGAACAATGTTTTTCCCATGTGAGATTGGTTTCATGGCGGTCAAAAGCTCCAGAAACACAATTCCCAAGCTGTAAACATCAGATTTGTCTGTCAACTTATGAGTCAACAAGTACTCGGGGTCCAGGTAACCCTGCAGGCCAAGTTCATAAAGAAATCATTATATTTAGACTGTATTGCCTCTAAGTTTTGACAATTTTAGCAAAGTAGTCATTGGGGAAATATTGAACTGTTTAACACTGCAAGTCTGCAACTCAAGAATAATCCAATACCATTCTGACACAGCATGATAGCAAAAAAAATTGTTATGAATTCCCTTTCCAGGAGAGAAAAAGGAAACAAAGCAAAAACAAAAATTGCCCCACCCATAATAATCAAATAATAGAAGGTATGAAAATTAAATGCATCATTTTTAA